CATCGTCGATAAAATCGATCATTTGTTAAAGACAGATATTTTTTAAGAACAAGCAAGCTCGAAATGAGCGAAAGGAAAATATGCAGTTCTGCGACCGAAATCCGTTCTCCATTTCATTAAGTGCATGTTACCTCTTTCGATGCAGTTTCGCTGCATCAGGTGATTCATATCTTCATTCAGTAAGTAAATTTTTGCACCGATTACGCTTGTTTCGAAAGTAATGCACTTATTGAAATTTCTGTAGTCAAATCCGAAGTCTTTATTATTCTCGGGTGACAGATCATCGAAGAAATGTTGTACTTTCCTATTCGTAAATTGCCATTCATGCGTCAAAAAAAAAACGCTAGAGCACTGTTTGCGCAATAGACCTTCCTCTGCAATTTTAATAGCCTAAAAAGAAAGAGTACTTTGCTAAATATTTTTTTTTACATTTACATATACTTAAAGATTTCACTTCTTATAAAATAAATAAATAAGATATATATGTATATACAATGTTCATAAACTTTTCCTAATCTATAAAATAAAGCTTACATGGGACGTGCACGGAACAATTTTAGGATTGAGTCTATGAAAAGTGCAGGCAAGATATGCATAATAAGTACAACTAAATAGTAAAACAAACGGCTATTAGTTGTAGTTATGCCTGGGGACCAAATAATGTTTTCCAAAGGTACTTCTTCAGCGAGTTTAAATCCCAGTTCAATCAGATGCTTCATGTTTATCCCTTTTACATCATGTCCCGAACAGTTATAAACATGAATCGTATTGTCTTCGGTGAAGCTGAATAAAAAATAATGTCACTAATGTAATATCAGTGTGATAGATATAGACAAAATAATGTAAACACCTGTGAAAAATATTTGTTTATTAATAAGATGTTGGCTACCATTTGCCATTAATTCTTGGAATTCTTGGAAGAGAACATATTTTATTTGAATAGTCTCTATTAAAATGTTGTTCCATTCTTTTATCTGCCTTTAAAGTTTCTCTTTTTCAAAATTGCCTACAGTCTGATGATATTAGATTATTCTGATGATATTAAATTATTAAGAAAATTGAAGCTGTATTAAAGACAAATTGTGGTTCAAGATCATATTAATAAACAAATGTAGTGTATTTTTCACAGATGTTCACATTATTTTGTCTGACCTCTGTATATTTACTTAGAGCTTTAGAAAATAACAAGATTGATAGACGATTTTATTATGTGTAAAGCACATATATGCATACGTTTGATTCCACGTTTTCACGCCACTATTAACATTGTCTTAATGGCTACGTCAACAGGCATAAAATTCGATGTAACGATAGGATCCCCGATAAACACAACACGAAGAATACCTTTGCCGCCGCCAACCAACATTCCAACAGGACCGTTAAAATTGTCTAGCCAGCCTTTTACTGGATCAAACGCTGTAGAGATAACTAAAGAAAGAAAAATCCTATATAATCCATCATTATTTTATCTATTTTTATATCGTTTCTTGGCAGAATAATTTTATTATTCAACTATAATTTTTTAAAACCACAATCTCCACTTGATTCCTCTTGACCATATAATTTTTTATTTTAATTGTGACACTGTAGCCAGCCTTTTACTGGATCAAATGCTGTAGAAATGACTAAAGAAAGAAAAATCCTATATAATCCATCATTATTTTATCTATTTTTATATCGTTTCTTGGCAGAATAATTTTTTATTTTAATTGTAACACCTAAATATTACAATCATCTGCTTTGTATACTCTTTTAAACAGATTCCTTTGAACAATTCAAATTCTAATTTTGATTCCAAAACCATCGTGAAAGTGTTACGTGCCTATGGATGGACGAACGATGACGCAAGGCAATGACTTTGAATAGTCGCTTACAACTTGCTCCGCCAATCTTTTTGTGAAAGTATACGTGTTTGGCATCGTTCCCAGATATCTAAAAGTGAACGTGAACGTATTTTAAGAGACAAAATGGACGCTATGCGGTGTTCATTAACTCTTACTTTGCTGTAAACGTTTTCAAAATATGCTCGTCAAAATGTTCGGCGACGTTAATCACTTCTCTCCAATCCAAATCTGATGGATAAAGTGTCTCATCAACCACTGGCTTGTTTGTTTGCGTATACGTAGAACTGACGTGTAGGAAAACCTTGAATCATTTACGCACAAATTAAATATTATACAAGAAAAATACATATATAAATTATGAAATTTATTTTTGATAACACATGATAACACATGAAAGATTTTATTACTCGAAATTATATTTAAGTGAAATTAATTTAATCTCATATATTTCACTTATTTGTATAAATACTGCAACAATTTTGATCTTAAAAATTGATAGGTAAAAAATATATATACTACGAGTTTTTTCATTTTTCGGCTAAAATGCAAATATCCCGCGTTGACCTAGTATTGTTGAAAACAGCTTCACGTAAACTTTCATCAAATCGAACAGAAGCCGCGACATGGAAAATTATAGACACTCTTTCGATCAACATTTCTCTATCGATCGGTTGCAATCCTAAGCCCTCAAGACTTACATCACCGTGAATTGGAATTAATTTATTAAAAGCAGATGGTCGCTCACTTCGCAAAACGTCAAAAAGCTAAAACAATCGTCAATAATTAGTAATATATTCTATATTGCAATTTTGATTTTACGATTTCAATCATTTTATTTATATTTCATCCCAAGAGGATTTCTTAGTTAGGAGAAAGGGAATTTTTAAAGCGAAAAATTATAATAAAATAATTCTCTTTAAATAAGAAAGGAAGATGATCTTCTTTATCACTCTCTTTTTATAAAAATGTATTTTCAACAATTTTTGAAAGCTGCTCTTTAAAGATTATAAACTGCTCATTAGAAATTATATATGAAGTTTTTATAAACTTTTGAATAAAATTTTAAATTTTGTCGCATTTACAAGTTATAACAATTTTTTTATAGATTATTTAACCGTTGCTCAAAAACATATATACATGTTTATTTTTTATAACTTTACCTTGTTATCCAACATTTTTTTCAGTTTTTCGTTTATGTTCAGTCCCTTCTTCGGTCTGATCAAAACAAAAATTTCATCAACATCGGGACAAAATCGCAGTAACTTTTCACATAGCGCTTTGCCTATAAATCCTGTACCGCCCGAAATTAAAATGCTACGACCTGCATAAAATGCAGGTATAAACGTATTTGCTGCACCTTTGTTCATGTCTATAAATGCAACTACTTCCGATAAGACGAATAAAGTATAAAAAGATAATGTGTTTAGTTATAAAACTGTAACAAAAATAGCAAGATTTGATTTAAATGTTAATTTTTAAAATCAAGAAAAACATATAAAGTAAAATTATTTTAAACATAAGCCAAACGATTGAATTTGAAACGAGAGTCGAAGTACTTCGTCTTCGATAAAAGATGGAAACGTGAATAAGCACAATGAATTTTGTGAACAGGAAATGACATAAAAATTATTTAATGGTAATGATATGCCAAAGATGTTCAAAGGAGCAAGTTCTTCCATATTCATGTGTTTATATATATCATGTTTATATATATCTATATATACAAGTATATCCGTCCGTCTGTATGTATGTACGCGAACTACTTCCGCATTTGCGAAAATTATTCTGCCAAGAAACGATATAGAAATTGTAGGCGATTATATGTTTTGTATTATTTTGCACACGTGTTCTAACCGTGATGCGTGAGATCACTTTGCGCATGATCATCGAATGATTCCGTTTCGCGACAGCATGTATATCAAGCGAGAGAGTCGTATTAGAAACATCGACCGAAACACATGTGTATTATTATTTTTGAGTTGACCTACCTGCCTCGGGTTAATATCGAGTATAGTAAGTGCTTACATAAACTGTATCCATATATCAAATACATCCTGACGAGCTCTTTATTTTATTTTATTTTTAATTTTATTCATGTTCTGAAAACCCCCACAAAATTCAGAAGTGGGATTCAACAGTGAATCTATAATTTCGGTCGATGAATCTTCTCGGCCTGCAGGTAGAAGAACTCCGGTCCGCGCTTTATTGAGAATTTTGACGCGTGTAATTGCGACACCTTTAAAAAAAGGTAAAAAAAGGCGACCAGTTAAGGGCACGCCATTAACAAAAATTATCCATTGCAAACCCATGTAGAATCCTATCCTATTGCAAACCCATGTAGAATCATATGAAAAATTAATTATTGCAAACCCATGTAGAATCCTAGGCAAAATAACCATTGCAAACCCATGTAGAATTGTACCCATTGCAAACCTATGTAGAATCCTATGAAAAATTAACCATTGCAAACTCATGTAGAATCCTATGAAAAATTAACCATTGCAAACCCATGTAGAATTGTATTAAAAATTATCCATTGCAAACTTATGTAGAATCCTACATTGCAAACCCATGTACAATAGAATTGTATGAAAAACTATCGATTATAAACCCATGTACAATCGTAACAAAAGTAATAAAATAAAAAAAAAATTGCGCCAAGTGAAAGTAGAAACTTGTACCAGTGGAAAATTAAAGTTGCAGACATATATAGAGTCGTATAATGAATCAGTAAAAATTTAAATTTGCAAATGTAGAATCGTACCATAAAAAAACTTATCTTTTAAAAAAAAGATAAACAAGATGCCAAGTCCATTAATATAAAATAAAAAGAAATAAAAAATTGTAGTTAAAAAAACTGGGCGCGCTGCTAAATAATATTCTAATGATATTAAAATTAATTTGTTATTTTTAAACTCATTGCAGTTAAAATATGTTTTGTGTTTAAATTAATTAATGTTACTTTAAGGTGTTAAATAATATTCTAATGATATTAAAATTAAATTGTTATTTTTAAACTCATTGCAGTTAAAATATGTTTTGTGTTTAAATTAATTAATGTTACTTTAAGGTGCTAAATAATATTCTAATGATATTAAAATTAAATTGTTATTTTTAAACTCATTGCAGTTAAAATATGTTTTGTGTTTAAATTAATTAATGTTACTTTAAGGTGCATTGTAATTTTGAAACTTAGCAGCGCGCCCAGTTTTTTTAACTACAATTTTTTTATTTCTTTTTATTTTATATTAATGGACTTGGCATCTTGTTTATTTTTTTTTTAAAAGATAAGTTTTTTTATGGTACGATTCTACATTTGCAAATTTAAATTTTTACTGATTCATTATACGACTATATATATGTCTGCAACTTTAATTTTCCACTGGTACAAGTTTCTACTTTCACTTGTCGCAATTTTTTTTTTATTTCATTACTTTTGTTACGATTGTACATGGGTTTATAATCGATAATTTTTCATACAATTCTATTGTACATGGGTTTGCAATGTAGGATTCTACATAAGTTTGCAATGGATAATTTTTAATACAATTCTACATGGGTTTGCAATGGTTAATTTTTCATAGGATTCTACATGGGTTTGCAATGGTTAATTTTTCATAGGATTCCACATAGGTTTGCAATGGGTACGATTCTACATGGGTTTGCAATGGTTAATTTTGCCTAGGACTCTATATGGGTTTGCAATGATTAATTTTTCATAGGATTCTACATGGGTTTGCAATAGGATAGGATTCTACATGGGTTTGCAATAAATAATTTTTGTTAATGGCGTGCCCTTAACTGGTCGCCCTTTTTTACCTTTTTTAAAGGTGAGTTTTTAGAGATTATATCATTCATTTTTGTATATGATATAATAACATTACCGCAATGCCATGACTCTGTGTATGTTTTACTGTTTAGACGTTTTGATGCTTTAATCAAAGATACTTGATTCTATATATATGTTTACACATAATTTAAGAAATATTTTCAATATCTTAAATCATTTATTTCCTTATTTGCAAACATGTTTCAAATAATATTTGATATCATAGCTTTAAAAGATATGTATTAGAACACGTATTATCATATTAGCACAAATGCGTAATATCATATACGATAAATATAAAATATATTTTATTACTGCATATATTACTTTAATGCAGTTTACTTTATAAAGTATCTCGTTCGAGTACTCGTTATTTGGGATCATATTATTGCTTTATATGATAATATAATTGTGTAAATGATATTTTATTGTACCGTATGATCATATAATTTTAATTGATCAAGTAAAATATAAAAAATATTTTTCTTATTAAATATATATATATATATATATATTTATGTATGTATATATATATATTTATATATATAAGGGTGTCCTGCAACTAATGTCCACAGTAAAACTTATACTATTTGTATTCTTGAGATTATTTTAAAAATAAACATGATTTTGAAATTTTCAAGATTTTCTATTTCTATAAATTTTTTGCGATATTCTAATGATACCCCCTTTATTCTTATTTAACATTTATGGGGTTCAATTTTTATAAAATTTTTTTACACAAATAAAAATATATATATAATTTCGAAAAATAATTTTTGAAAAATAAAGCAGTCTCTTGCTTACTTTAATATTGTAGTTGTTAGTAGTAGAAATATAGTAGTAATAAATAGTAGTTACAATAGTACAATAGTAGTAATAATTGTTATAAAGTTGCAGTAGTAACAAAAAAAGATGTTTCATGCCAAAGACGATCTATTCGTCTGCTAGTTGTTTTTTAAAATATCTTTCCCAGAACGATTTGCATGTGCTCTCTGGAAAAAGATATTTTATATCGGAGACGATATATTTGCCTGCTAATTGTTTCTAAAATATCTTCTCCCAGAACGATTTGCATGTGCGCTCTGGAAAAAGATATTTTATATTGAAGACGATTTATTTGCCTGCTAATTATTTCTAAAATATCTTCTCCCAGAACGATTTGCATATGCGTTCTGGTTATTAAAAAAGATATGTTATACCAGAAACGATATATTCGTCTGCTAGTTGCTTCTAAAAATATCTTCTTCCAGAACGATTTGCATGTGCGTTCTGGTTATTTATAAAAAGATATTTTATACCAGAGACGATATATTCGTCTGCTAGTTGCTTTTAAAAATATTTTCTCCCAGAACGATTTGCATGTGCGTTCTGGTTATTTATAAAAAGATATTTTATACCAGAAACGATATATTCGTCTGCTAGTTGCTTCTAAAAATATCTTCTCCCAGCACAATTTGCATGAGTTAGTACCCACGATGCAATGCCTGGAGTCAAATTCAAATACAGGTCCGTGTAGTAAAAACGTCTGATATAAAATATCTTTTTCCAGAGCGCACATGCAAATCGTTCTGGGAGAAGATATTTTTAAAAGCAACTAGTAGACGAATATATCGTCTCTGGTATAAAATATATCGAATTTTGCAAAGATAACAATTATTTTGTTATCTCGAGAATAGCCCTCTGGATATAAATTGTATCCAAAAGCATGTCTCAAGAGCGTCGCATTTTCCACTTTTCTCATATGTGGAATGAACTTTAGAGATCATTCAATAATCATATGAAAGAAATCAAGTGCCAATTTAAAGATTGGAAACTCATAAAAACTAAAACCAAAGGCCAAAAGGAAAATGACTCTAGGAACAGCACATATAAGAATACTAGCAATGAATCGATTTTCAAAAATCGTTGGAATTATTCTCAGATATGATAGATTCTAAAGTTAGTATTCAAAAAGTGTCGCCTTTTTCTAAATAATAAAAATTTATCAAATCAATAATTTGTTATATTCCAATACATATCGTTGCAAAAAGACGCCTCAATGCAAATGTTTCGTTTGCTATAATCGGACAAAAAAAAACATTTTGTGGCTGCGTTCTCACGGGAATGGGCGATGGAAGGGCCTATTCTATCCTTGATATTTTAAAAAATATATAATATTTTTTCATTATCGAGTTACATATAATTATCAATATAATTACTTATCATTCACATGTGTGTGTATGAATATATTTACTGAGCATTCACATGTTTGTGTATAAATATATTTACTGAGTGTTCTAAATAAAACGTTACAATTTTTTATTTCTAAAAGTATAATTTTTAGAAAATAATGCTGCAAATAAAAGTTCCAGTATTTCAACAGAGATATACATACTTTGATCTTACAGAAATGTTTGTAGAAGGCAATTTTCAATATCATTAGTAAAAAAATGTAATATGTTGAACACAATAAAATTGTTTTTTTTTTGGACATGCATGTAAATTTATAATATATGGAAACTGCCGAAATCTATTACTTTGATCTAATTGTACACCGAAATTTTCACCTAAACTTGAAAAATCCAAAATTTCTCGTTCCCCTCTCCGCGTGACGTTATTCTCTCGCGCTAAAAGTCCCTCTCGCCCCGCATCCCCGTCGGAGCTCATGGGTTAGAAATCTTCTTATATCACTATTAACATATGAGTACATTATTTCTTACAAAATAATTTTTGGAATTGTAATCAATTTCATGTGAATTATAGATAAAATTAGAGCTCTCGTTTTATATTAAAATTCGCAATGTGATATGTGATTTTGCAAACTTATATGAATATATGGTAATTGTAGTGTAAAAAAATGGTTTACATTATATATTTTAAGAACAAATAATATTGATTAAAATAAAAACAAATGTGTAATAAACATGGATCCTACGTACATTAATACCTTCGAAGGTACAGGCCATCTTTCTATTTGAACTTAGTAGATTTTCTTTCTGAATTATGAATTTACTTTTAAAGCTCAATTTTTATGCACATTTATTTGCTAATAACTTTTTAATAAACAATGGTTGAATGATAAGAATGACTATTAAAATCTTTAGAAAGTGACTATATACAATACGTCAAAGTCAAAGCTACTTGCATTATGTATTACATTAAAATTAATATTTATTCTAATTTATTTTACCCTATTTTACAAGAAAAATATTCACATGATTCGTACTTTTTTAGCGGATGTGCTGATAGGCTCTTTCTTCTTCTCTCTCACTCTAAACACTGACAATAATATATAATTCGACATATGATATCTGTGCCTCACAGTTCTTTTATCGTCGTCGCTCGTTATCGTAGATTGTTTGTTTATCTCAATTTACTTATATCTACAGGCAGTGAAGTTAATCGATGAAACTATTAAAAAAAGTAATCATTGCACCTTGATTAAAAAGAACAACATCTTGCTGTCAGTTTACTTGTTTGTCGTTCCGACAAAAGAAACAATTCGTTATCAATTTTAATATCCCAAAGCAGCTGTGAGAGTTGAGTGATAGGAAAGTGGTAAGTCGATACAATTTAGGAGATTATCTTTTGTTATGCTGTCTGTCTATGTGTATCAGTGTCAGTCTCTAATTTTTAATTTCTTGATATGATAATCGCGTTTTCATCTATCGTAATAAATAATGAAAAATCAATATGCAATACAGACCAAATACTATTTTGTTATTGAATCGTGACGAAAAATTTTCTTATTTGAAAGTATTACACATTTTTTTAAAATTGATCGTGATATGTAGAACCTTTTTTAGAAAAAGATAAAAAAAGAGCGCTAAATCTACGCGCCATGTGAAAAAGTGTTCGCAAAACACAGTGTTTTTGCATTATTGTAAAAATTTGCTTTAAATAATAATATTATTTTATCTTTGCGTAATATAATTTAGTTGTACAATATAATTATAATTCTAGAAAAATAGATATAAAAAATTGTCAATTGACAAAATCTTATGTTGTAAAATTAATACTTCTAAAAACTAAAAAATAATCATATAAAACATTTATACAAAAAAAAACTTGGCAAACTTGATTTCGACGTAACTAGCAATTTTATTCAATACTTTCACGACGTTTCGACCATTTGGTTGTGGTTTTTATCAAGTGAAAATTTTATCAATTAAAATGAGATTAACGCAACATAACACCGGTCTTATTTAAAATTAATAGTTAAAAGAGGAACACGTCCCATTCGTCGTTGACGAAACATCATAGCGATGGGACGTGTTCCTCTTTTAACTATTAATTTTAAATAAGACCGGTGTTATGTTGCGTTAATTTCATTTTAATTGATAGAATTTTCACTTGATAAGGACCACAACCAAATGGTCGAAACGTCGTGAAAGTATTGAATAAAATTGCTAGTTACGTCGAAATCAAGTTTGCCAAGTTTATTTTCACCACTAGCGTCCAATATTAATTTTGATTGATTTATACAAAACATAAAAAATTAAAAATTTATGCAAAAATTAAAAATTAATACAAAAAAATGTTAATTGAAAAATTTGGCACTCTAAATTGAACAATATGCTAATATTCGCATAACGTATTCTGTATATTTATGTTTCAGTTAATTGTTTTATTAATCAGAAAGAAATATTTTCATCGGCTTCTCAATATTAAGAATATAAATATGATGTTTTTTTTAAATCGGCCAACAGAGCCAAAGCACGAAAAATTAATTATTCAGAACTGTATTTCTTGGTTTCAGACCACTAAGTTCTATATATAAATTAATCTCGAAACTTACATATGGAGAAATAGGTGCGAAAAATATAGGTCCGCAAAGTCGCTGAAGCGGAAATCGAACCCGCGTCTTTCACTTTCCGGGCGACTGCTCTTACCAACTAAGCTATTCAGACCCTTTCGACCCTATTTCTCCATATGTAAGTTTCAAGATTAATTTATATATAGAACTTAGTGATCTCAAACCAAGAGATACAGTTCCAAATAATTAATTTTTTGTGCTTTGGCTCTGTTGGCCGATTTAAAAAAAAACATCATATTTATGTTCTATTAATGTTCCAGTTATTATGAAGTAATATTAAAATTAATTATTTACTATTAACGTAATGTTTACATAAAATTAATATTTGTTACTTTGAGATATATTACAGACAAGGTACATTGCAGTACATTTAAAATTTAACAACGCCAAGTTCTTTTAACTAAAATTTTTATATTTCTTAATTTTTATTATTTTTCAATTTTTGCATAATTTTTTAATTTTTAATTTTTTGTATAAATTTTTATTTGGTGCAATGTTTTGATATTTTTTGGAATTTTTAATTTTACAACATAAGCTTAAACAAATTGACTACGACGTAACTAGCAATTTTATTTGATTATTTCACGACGTTTCGACCATTTGGTTGTGGTCCTTTTCAAGTGAAATTTCTACAACATAATGTTACACAATATTTTTTAACATACGAAAACTCATTTAAGTGTTAAATTAATAAAATAAGTATAAATTTTATAAACATACCATCAATTAAACCGAGGTTAACATAACATCACACCGGTGTTATTTGAAATCGAAAGTTAAACGTTAAAAGAGGAACACGTCCCATCGTTATGATGTTAAAAGTTAAAAGTTAAAAGAGGAACACGTCCCATCGTTATGATGTTTCGTCAACGACTAAACTTGAAACGCGCCACTAAACAATCTTTATTATTTTGTCGTAAATGTTTGTCAAATTCTCGGTGTCTTTCTGTAGGTTAACTGTATTGTCATGCTTCTTTATGAAGAACATTTCAGCAATCTCTCTCTTTCTTACATGTTTCTCGTTATGTAAAATTGTCGGTGATTTCCAATCAAAGTTATGCCCAAAATCACATCTGTGTTTGCTCAAAACCGAATGATTAGACTCATGTAATTTAATATTGCTGGCATGTTCCTTCACTCTAGTGCATAAATGTCTTTTTGTTTGTCCAATGTATGATGCATTACAATTTTCACAATTAATCTTGTAAACTACATTCGTTTTAATATCATTAGTTATTAAATCTTTACCTCGTTTTATCAGCCTATTCAACTTTTTTGGCAAACTATAAACGACATTTATGTTAGCATTATTAAGTGACCTCTTAATACTGTCGCTAACGTCTTTAACGTATGGGAGTGGAATTACATAATTCTTATCTTAAGCCAAATTCACATTGACGTTATTATCTAAATCATTACTCAAACTGTCGTTATTATCCGCATTGTGACCGTTACCATTCCTGTTGTTATTCAGTACATTAATTCTTTTATTTACTGTGACGTGACAAATTGAAATTGTCCGTCACAAGGGCTGAATGGCCCGATCGGGGGAGGGCACGGGACCTCTGCTCTCCCGAGACAGCGAGAGAGAGAGAGAGAGAGAGAGAGAGAGAGAGAGAGAGAGAGAGAGCGTGCGTGCGAAAAGCGCGGGACCGGACGCGATCCCGCTGCTACGCGTTTTTGTATATTTTTTTGTTGAGAGTTAGGATTATTTCGGCGGCAGACAGGATGTGCGACGAGTCTCAGCCGAAAGAGAAACCCTGGAGGAGAAATAGGAAGGCATAGGAAGCAGGACGACGGGGACCCCATTCGTCAGGGACACGCTCGGTAAGCCCAAGATCCAAAATTTCTTCACTGAACATCCGACAACGGAGTAGGTGCCACTGCCTAAAAATTTGTACCTTCCAGGAGCGAGCGGGGGATGGCCACTCGGGTGCAACAAGCACCCGAGTCCCCGCATACGGAGCGCCGGCAGGAGAGCTGCCGCTCCCGGGACATCCGGAATCCCGAAGGAGAGCAAGGAGCGGCCCTGCCGTGCGCTGCCGCGACGACCGCCTACGAAGGGCAACCCGCGGATCAGGACTCCGCGGGTAAGGATAATTAAGCGCGCGGCCGCAAGGATCACCGAGGCCGCGCGCGCGGCCGACCTGATAGCGCCGCGAGTGGCCTATCTAGGTAATTGGGTCACCGACGTGTCTCCTGAGGGCCCCCGGTTCGGCACTGTCTAGCGAGCGCCCGACGAGAGTGGAGGTCCCGAGACGGAAGCGCAACTTAGGGAGAGCGAAAGAGGAGAGGACGATAAGGATCGTTATAGGACTGGTGAGACGACGTGGTCATCCTGCTGTCGCCGAATTAAGGTAGCAGGGTGGATGGGCCCGAATTACCTATCGTTAAGAGATTATGCCGGACTTAGTTGCCGGCCCGTTATAAAATTGCGAGAGATTAGTTTTATTGTCGAGTCGCGGTATTAACGTAACGAAACTCTATTGGGAGAAACTACGACCCATCCACTCTCTTGCGTTTCCGCATATTCTCTCTCCCGCGTGGACAGTCTTTGCGCGTAACATTGTCGCGCGAAAAGTACCGCGATTTACGCGTTGCCGAATATTGTTCGAGGCGAAAAATCGGGGAGCTCATAAACGCTTTCGGGCTCATTAAAGTATTGATGTTGTCTTAAAAGAAAAGGCGTGATTACGTTTAATTTTGTGTATGGAATTTATGTACGGCGCACGCGGTGCGCCCTTACGCCGGCCCCTTTGTTGTCGCGCATACCGCGCGGATCACGCGCCCGCGGCGTGGAGTAATATACCCGGTGGCGCATCGCCGATTTAATTAATCATTTTTTTTGTTATTGGAGACACTACCTCGTTGCCGCGAATTAGTTAAATATTATTCATAACTCGGCACGGCGAACCACCGGTCGTATTGCCTCACCAAACTCTCAATCGTGCGTCTGTGCACGCCGCTTATTTCTGTATATTATATACTCATGTGTCTTATGAACAAAATTTAAATATATGTTTTATTAACTTTAATTCCTCGGGTTATTTCTCGCCGCCACGCACCCGAACCCTTACCCGTACAGAGGCTAGCCGAGCGGGAAAGTTGCCGTCGCGATCTCTCTCTCTCCCGTGATTGACGCCCGCGAGAGGGCTGGGACAATAAGTCCAAGTAAATCAAGACTTAGCGTCCCGCGAATTTATTAATTGAGAGACGGTGCGGCTGCCGCACCTGGCGCCCAACTAAATCGAGATTTTAGTTTTCTTTTTTTATTTTTTTTGTTGTTATAATTTTTTTTGTGATCGGACGGAGAGATCGCGCCGAAGGAAACCGATATTCCGCAGGAGACTTTTCTCCTTACGCGACGAATTGATATTCGCTGCGAATTCCGCGCGATACGGTTATATTACATACTTATTAATAATATGATCCGGAAAACAATTATTAATTAAAATGTTCTTTACAATCTCAATATTCGTATTATGAAATTGTTCGTTAGAAAGTAAAATTGCATGGTCTACTAAATTGTAAATCGTATTAATTTTGTACTTAATAGGATGACTCGAAAGAAAATTGATGTATCTGCCAGAACATGTAGGTTTCCTAAACCAATTAGTTGTCAATTTATTTCCATTGCGGATAACTGTAGAATTTAAAAAATTAATAGAAGAATTGGTCTCTATTTCATGTGTGAATTTTAAACGTTCATGATAGTTATTAAATGTACTTAAAATTTCATTTATTTTAGAGCTAGGTAAAATAACCAAAATGTCGTCCACATATCTATAAAAAATCTGAACTTTAAAACTTAAAGAATTTAAACAATTTGTTTCCAAGTCATCCATTACTAAGTCAGCTAGTATCGGTGATAGAGGGGATCCCATAGGGCTTCCATAAATCTGTTCATAATACTGCTCGTTAAATTGAAAACTAGTTGAAGTAAGTATTACATCAACAGCGTATAGGAACTGTTGCAAATTAAATTTAGTTTTTAGATTTATGTCACTCCAACGACTTTCAATTGCAGAAAAAACTAAATTTTTTGGAATATTTGTAAACAACGAACAAACATCTAAGGAAATCATTACGTCATCGTCATTAACCCTTGTATTTTTAATAGTATTCACAAAAGTCCAAACATCCTTAACATTTGAATCCGGTTTCTTAACAGACTTAACTAATATCTCATGAATGTAACTGGCAATATTATAAAAGAGACTGCCTAACGATGACACAATGATTCTCAATGGATACCCGCTCTTATGGATCTTCGGGAGTCCATAACACCGTGGTAAATTACCATTTGTGCAATTCAGAAATTTATATGTTTGATCATCAATAATCTCATTATTATGCCATGACTTTACTAACGTATGAAGTTTGTTCGTCAGACGTGTAATCGGATTTTTATTTAATTTTTTGTATGTCATCGAATCACTTAACAATAATTCCATATTAGTCACATAATCATTTCTATTCATAACCACTGTCACTTGTTCTTTGTCAACTTTGGTAACAATTAAATCTTTATTATTCTGCAAATATTTATTAGAAATATTAAACGCATCCTGAATAAATCTGTCACTATAATTGATATGTTATTTTATTAATTTAACACTTAAATGAGTTTTCGTATGTTAAAAAATATTGTGTAACATTATGTTGTAGAAATTTCACTTGAAAAGGACCACAACCAAATGGTCGAAACGTCGTGAAATAATCAAATAAAATTGCTAGTTACGTCGTAGTCAAGTTGTTTAAGCTTATTTTCACCACTAGCGACAAATATTAATTTTGATTAATATTAATTTTAATTTTACAACATAAGTTTTTGTCAATTTACAGTATTAACATATTGATAGAATTGATTATATTGATAGGATTGATTACAAAAGAAAACAATCAATACAATAATGCACTGAAAGTTTATTTAGATGCACAACAAAAACTTGAGATAATACAAGTAAAAGATAGAGAAAATCATGATAACGACAAAAAGCGCGATATTACTCGTACGAATGTTGATCGAAGACAAAGATTTTTAAACAAACAGTAGACACGATAAAGTTGAATTTATTCGGTACACACAGTAGGTCGACGATTTGAGTCAGCTAATTTTCGCTATGAAGGTAGAGTAAGAAGCGCGCGTGCGGTAAGACGCGTGAGACAAGAAAAACCGCTTAAATACAAAGAAAAGATACATCGGCGATGCGGTGATTTCGAATGAAAGCTATACAAATAGAATACAATACCGAGAATATAAGAGAGATTACAATAGAAAATTTAGCAAAATGAGATAATAATTTTATCACTTGAAAGATTATATATAATATTAAAGGGAATAATGAGAATCAAATAAAATTAAGAAATTGAAATTGAATTATTAACAAACAGAACTTTTTACATCTATTTTTTTAGATAAAGTATTACACATATAAAAGGCTAATAAGAGCAGAAGTAATATTACGGTTATAAAAACTAATTTATTACAAATTTAACGTATAAGACGGGCAACAAGAGCCAAATCGCGGATGACAATGCGTTATCCTAACGAAACTAAATAATTTTTCCGTTAGATTTAAATACCGGTGCACAAGGCACCAAATTTTACTTGGACACGGCCAAGATTTTAAAATATGAAATAATCTCATATTTGAGATTTAATTTCAATACCCCCTTTAACCCCCCTACGGAAAATAAATAAATGAAGAGAAAAATATAGATCCGAAAATCGCTGAATCGGGAATCGAACCCGAGACCTTTCGCTTGCCGGGCGACTGCTCTTCCAACTGAGCTATTCAGATCCTTTCGATTCTATACTTTTCTCTGTTATATATATTAATGTCTAATTTATTACATTTAATCAATTTGTACTGATAGAAACAATAAAGTTTAAGTTAATCTAAAATTATAAAAATAAAATCGAAAGTTAAAACGAATGAGAAAGCGAACGTTTCGATCCAATTTTTCGGATCTCCTTCAGCGCAGTACAAAAAGCAAATTAAAATTACCAAAGTCTAAATGTTTTTAACGTATAAATGTCTAATAAACATATTTAGACGCGGTTACATCAGTAAACGAAATAAAACGTAAGATTAATATGACTCTCACTAAGCCATCACATTTACGTTACTGTGGGAAGCGATCCTCTCTAGTTTTTTGACTACGAGATTGGCAGGTGTTAAAATATAAAAATTAATCGCATTCTATAAATTAAAATAATTTTCTCATTACACCTCACTAATTATAAGATCCACAATCAAGTGCATTATGAAACAATAATCTAACAATTGGTATAAAAAAATGCTAACAAAAACTTACATATATTTATGATGTGACAATATTTTAGTTGTAACAGTAGCAAAAGTGACGCTAGTGTAATCCTCATGTCAGTAGAACGGCTCAGAGGAAACTGAAGCTCAGTTGGAAAATAATACTCGATAGCCACATTTTTACATAAAATCATTTCAAATAGTATTCCTACGGGAAAAAGTAATGTAAATAATAGTTTTGAACTTTACAGCAAGCTAGCGGGTAAGAAAATTGGTGTGGAAGATATTCTAATATTATTAGACGTGGTTTCACTATTCACTAACATTCCGATAGATCTTGCAATAGAAAGTGTGAGCAATAGATGGAATTATATCAATACACATACATTAATTCCAAAAAATGAATTCATTTCCATGGTTAAATTTATATTGTCGTCAACATACTTCACATTCAATGACATTGTATACAAGCAAGTTTATGGCACACCTATGGGTTCCCCGTTATCGCCAATAATTGCTAATATTGTTATGCAAGATCTTGAAGAATCAATAATTAATGAATTGGACATTGGTATCGGAATATATTATAGATATGTAGACGACATTATTATGGTGGCACCAAAGAATAAAATTGATAGTGTACTAAATAAGTTTAATAGTTACAATCAACGACTACAATTTACGATTGAATACGAAATTAATAGAAGCATAAATTTTCTAGATTTAAACATTAAAATAATAGATAACGTCATACACTTAGATTGGTTTCAAAAAAAGACATGTTCAGGTAGAGTACTATCTTTTTTATCGAGTCACCCTATGTGCCATAAAATAGGAGTAATTTATAATCTTATTAATAGGGCATTGTTATTATCTCATCCCATATATCATAAGAAAAATTTAGAACTGTGTATTAAAATATTATTGGACAACGGTTACCCTATTCATTTAATCTTTAAAGAAATAAATAAGAGAATAAGAGTTTTAAACAATGGTCAGTTTAACAACAATAGAAAAAAAGAAATTGCAGAAGATAATAGCAAGAAAACATTTTTCGTCATTCCATACATTAATAACATTTCCGAGACAATAGCATCGACAATAAAAAAATCAGATTTCAGAGTAGGATACCGTTGTTTAAATAATCTTAACAAATTAATTAAAGTCCACAAGGACAAAAACGTGCATAACAATAATAGTAATGTTGTCTACAAATTAATTGTAAGGATTGTGAAGCTTTGTATGTTGGGCAAACCAAAAGAAAATTACGCACTAGACTAAAAGAGCATATGAATAATATTAAATTTGATTCCTCCAAGCATTCTGTGGTCTCTGAACATATTATAGATAAAAAACATGCGTTTGATTGGGATAACGTTAAAATACTTGATATTGAATCTAATTATTATAAAAGACTTATCTCGGAAATGATACACATCAAGGAACAAAGGCATGGTATAAATAATAACACAGACACCGAATTACTTAACAACGCGTATTTCGACATATTTGAAGAAATATCGAATTTTTAGACTTATGTAAATGTTTATTTTGTGAGATCTGACACCTATTTATTCGACTTTTTAAAAGACTAGACAACAGTCAAGTACTAACAATAAGGCCAACAACAATTAGAAGCATCGTCATCTCAAGTTATTCGGAACAATTTGTAAGCATAAAGGTTCAATATTTTAGTAATTAGTTTAATTTGTAATTTTTAATCTTTTACATACACATTAGTGGAATCCTATTTTACTATTGAATAAATTCTTTAAATTCAGTTAACAAATATCAAATAATTTGGAAAGGATGGACATAATCATTGCCAGATCGAGGGACTTTCGTCAAATAACGATAAGTGGTTCGTTTGGAGTAATGTATAAGTGTCACTCCGAGTTTTTATTAATAATTCTAAAATATTTTATGAATAACCGGACGAATCATTCTGCTTCTAATTGGGTTCTTACTTTGTTGAACTATTTTAATGGTTTCAATTCATTGTGAATATATTTTGCGTTTTAACTATGACTTAACTATATAACTTATATTGACTATGTATTGCGGATTTTTTAATTAGAATTTTATGTATTTATTTATTATCGTTATTTATTATCACTATTTTTTTGCGCACTGAAGATGAGCAAGTAGAGCTCGAAACGTTTGTATAATTATTATTTCAAATTAAGAATTATTTTCTAAATAATAAAATAATATCGTATTGCTCGTTACACATGGCCTTAATTTAATAATTTTATCATTGTTTTTATTGTCACACGAGCTTGAGCAATGGTATGTGTTGGTTTGATTAGGTATTAATTTTGCATTGTAATTGGATATTGTTTATTTAGATCTCCATTTAATGTCTAACAACATTTCAATATGACGATTCAATCAAGATATCTCCCTTGACTAATAAATCAGGAGGCCTATACACAGTGATTACATGGCACTGTCGCTCGATCTCAGTATGTATCCAAAATTTGCACTTGTCACACGCGATGACTTATTTAGAAACATATGTAATGAGACAAAAAACTAACTTTTTATTATCTTGACATCGTTAATTGCCGTCTTTAATGTTCAATATTATATTTCAATTTATATAATATTTGTATTGCGCTGAGGAAGGCTCGAAATGTCAGCCGAAACGTTCGCTCTAATGTGTATTTCTTATGTATATATTATATTATTTTGTTAAAATGCGAATAAATGATCACTTCTTATTTATTTCTCGCTACGTTCAAATGAAGTTTTTTTTTTTATATTTTTCAATATCAACTGACAACTTGTTAAGTTTAATAGCTCTTATAGCCCTTCTTTGTTTACAATTTATTAATTTAACAGAGCTAATTACTAATTTTATTTAGTAATAATATATTACCATGAAAAGTAACTGTGATATTTTATTCAAGGTGCAAGTTCACATTGAACATACATACTGTTCAGAAGTAAGTTGACCCCAGGTCAAGAACTTTATTATTTGTTCAAAGAGAATGAAGAAGATTGGTCAGCGATTATTCAACGCCAGCATTTTTGAACGCATTTCAACGATTTTGCGCCAGACGAGGCTTGCCAGCAGTTATGTATTCGGATAACGGTACAACATTCAAAGGAGCCGATAAAGAGCTATCCCGCGCGTATCGGGATGCTCAACGCAATACGGATTTTCTCAATTTAATCGCAACAGATAGGATCACTTGGAGTTTCATCCCGCCTCATGCTCCTCATTTTGGAGGACTATGGGAGGCAGGAGTGAAGAGTGTCAAACACCACCTTCGTCGAATTGTAAGCTCACACGCATTGACATTTGAGGAGTTCACGACAGTGTTGTGCAAAATTGAGGCTATCCTCAACTCAAGGCCGCTTTCTCCACTCAATGATACTCCAGACGACTACGAGTTCCTGACCCCAGGTCACCTTTTGATTGGGACTGCCATTACTACGAATCCGGAACCTTCCGTTCTACAATTGAACGAAAACAGATTGTCGCGATGGCAATTACTCAGACAGATTACGGAGCGTTTTTGGAAGCAGTGGCAGTCAGATTATGTCAATACTCTTCAACAAAGATCAAAGTGGCGTCGAGAAACGCCTCCGATTCAGGTTGGCTCAATGGTTTTGATTCAAAACCCCCTTCTCCCACCGTGTAAATGGGAATTAGGGCGAGTTATTCATTGTCATCCGGGCTCTGACGGGTTAACTCGAGTCGTCTCAGTTAAAACAGCGACGTCCGAATACAAGCGACCAGTAACTAAATTGTGCCTACTACCTATCGATATTAACTTAATCGATCAACTGTCGGAACGTAAGACAGGTACTGCGGAAAACCCAACTCCATAATGCGCATGCAACGTCTCAATCGTTCGCATAATTAGGACAAGTCAAGTCCTTCGTAGTTAGTTAAGGCGGGCGGCGCTCAATATCCTTGACTACTCAAGACCACTCGCGTCGCGTTAATGTAAGTTTAGTAAGAATCTATGTCTTAATATTGTTATTCAATCATGTAAGCAACCAAATGCCTGTTATTGTTCAATATGTAATCACTGAATCTCACTCGAAAAATCATTAAGCGATTAACGTTTTATTTTTTCTTTTTTTTTTCTCTTTATGTAACAAAAAAAAACCCAAACCTGGGGTAAGTTCTTTAGTTACTGTAAGACATTTCGAAATCTTTATTTCGAGGCGGGCGGTATGTTCAGAAGTAAGTTGACCCCAGGTCAAGAACTTTATTATTTGTTCAAAGAGAATGAAGAAGTAGGTCGATAATTTGAAATTCTATAATTTTTGAGTTAATCCGGCACGGGGCAGCACGCACTGAACCTACACGCCGCGCTTCAAGCGTTCGATTATCGAATCGATCGGGGATGAACTGCCTCGTCATCGAACCTGGGCATTCGCTCCTGGCACGGCTTTGCGATTAGTCACATGTGGGTTTTCCGTCGCGATTCTAATTGTTCGTAGTTCGTTTGATTAATAAAAAAAAATAATCAGATTGATATTCTGCTGTGATTCAGTGATAAGTGAGATGTGAAATACGTTCACTTTGACATTCGCTAATTAACGGTAGCAACAAGGTGCGCCGTTATATACGCGACATAAAATTTGCGCTCAAAACATTGTTAACGAAGCGGAATTCAGTGATTTGGGACCAGAATTCACGCAATGGTGAAATATCAAGGTGCCGAAGTCCGATTGTTTCCACGAACGTAATAATTGTATACATGAGGCTCGCGCGTGTTCGCTTGGCACGCGTAGATCACGTGAGTTGGAGCGCGCAGATCACGTGATCAGTCATCTGGGACTGATACCTGATGTCGTGATTGTGTTTGCGTTCCTTTTTTTCATCCCTTCGAGCCCGTGGTGCTCAACGCACTGTAACATTTATGTGATCAGTGATTCTCCATGTTAATTGAAACATTTCGGTTCGCGATTTAATATCGCATTCGCCGCAATCGGCAACGTGTACGAAATCTTAATGTGAGATTTCGAACGATTCGATACACGAGTTTCGAGCGTGTTCATCGTAACTAGCAATTGTTATGCAACAAATAGTTTTTCGGTGGTGTCCATGCAACACATGCTAGATACCATATAGTGAGACATTTCGGACTGCTTAACAACCACGTCATACGTGTTTTCGCGGTGACTATTTTATTCGTTAATAGATAAAGATTTTATGTAAAGGTTTCAAATTAATTTGCGTTTATGTACATTGTGACTCTCGGACAAATTTAGTTAATAAATGGATTGTTTTTGTGTAATTTGTGCATATAATTCCGTATTCTGGTTCTCGATTCGGCACGTGGCTTAAATCGTTACCCATCCTGCGCACCAATCGGAGCGCGTCCACCCTCCTTAAGATACAGTCCACTTTGAATCTTCCTGTGCAATCTATACGCGAGACCGATATCGACGATCGGATTTACAACCCGATTGTCAGGATCCGTAGCTTCGTGCGTGAGCGTTCAACGTCAGCAATCGAGCGTACGCGCAAACACATACATATAAGTAAAACTGATTACAATTTGATTCTAGAAAATAAGTGCGATATGTTATTCTTAGTGCACAAAATATAATAGTCGTTTATAGAGATTTGATTTGAAATTCATACTAGCCCGTACAATGAAAATAATTGCTCGTAATTCCAGAGTACCAATTTGTACAAAATTCCCCTTGTTCGTGTTTTAACCCTGTAAAGAAATAGGCAAGAAAAATATTGGTACAAAAGTCGGCTGAATCGGGAATCGAATCCGAGACCTTTTGCTTGCCAGGCGACTGCTCTTTCAAATATTCTTAATATTGTTTCTTTGCGTCTGGGCCTATTATTACAACGCTTTGGGGTGAAAGCATTGAGAAAAGTATTGTTTCGTAAGTGTCTGAATAGCTCAGTTGGAAGAGCAGCCGTCCGGCAAACGAAAGGTCTCGGGTTCGATTCCCGATTCAGCCGACTTTCGGACCAATATTTTTATCGCCTATTTCTTTACAGAGGGTTTAAAATAGGAACAAGGGGAACTTTGAGATCTCAACCATAAGATATGAATTCCTAAGTTTCTTAATTTTTCACAATAACATCGCGTTTGCCTCTATTGGCCGAGATGGAGATGGAAATGTTATATATAATAATTATAATTCTAAAAAAATAATATAATAATTAAATGCTCTTAAATTCAAATAAAGTATTACACATATAAAAGGCTAATAAGAGCAGAAGTAATATTACGGTTATAAAAACTAATTTATTACATTTAATCAATTTGTACTGATAGAAACAATAAAGTTTAAATTAATCTAAAATTATAAAAATAAAATCAAAAGTTAAAACGAATGAGAAGCGAACGTTTCGATCTAATTTTTCGGATCTTCTTCAGCGCAGTACAAAAAGCAAATTAAAATTACCAAAGTCTAAATGTTTTTAACGTATAAATGTCTAATAAACATATTTAGACGCGGTTACATCAGTAAACGAAATAAAACGTTGTAAGATTAATATGACTCTCACTAAGCCATCACATTTACGTTACTGTAGGAAGCGATCCTCTCTAGTTTTTTGACTACGAGATTGGCAGGTGTTAAAATATAAAATATTAATCGCATTCTATAAATTAAAATAATTTTCTCATTACACCTCACTAATTATAAGATCCACAATCAAGTGCGTTATGAAACAATAATCTAACAATTGGTATAAAAAATGCTAATAAAAACTTACACATATATATAATGTGACAATATTTTAGTTGTAACAGTAGCAAAAGTGACGCTAGTGTAATCCTCATGTCAGTAGAACGCCTCAGAGGAAACTGAAGCTCAGTTGGAAATGTAAGGTGACAAACAATCAGTAATTATTTTGTTGTTTTGTAAAATTAATGTCAAATCTAAAAAGTTTATTTTATTATTATCGTCAGTTTCCAGAGTGAATTGGAGTCTATTATGATAAGAATTAAAAATCATAAGTGTGTGGTCAATTAAAGTCAAATCATTAATAACAGACCACCGCGTTAATTTTAACCATGAATTTGATTGGGAGAACATTAATATTTCAGATAAAGAAATATATTACGGAAAAAGATTAGTATCAGAAATGATATACATAAAAAGACAAAATAATAGTCTCAATTTACAGACTGATACTGAAAATCTATCTGATATTTATATCGAAACTATAGAGAGACTACCTAAACTCTAAGGTTAAATAATCGGTCTGATTGATAGGGTAATTTTATTATCTCATCCTTCATTTCACCAGGATAATATAGAATTGATTATTAACATCTTAATAAATAATAATTACCCGGTAAAATTCATTTTTGACACTATTAACGACAGACTCAAAACTCTTTTTTATACTAGAAGTAATGTTAACAACAACAGTCTAAATCAATCGAAGGATTCTCATTTGTTTTTTACTGTGCCTTACTTACCGAAGGCCACTGAACAATTGATAGGTATTACAAAAAAAGTCGATACTAGACTCTCCTACATGAGTATGAATAAATTAGGTAAATTTATAAAAACACATAAAGACAAAATACCTAAAGGAGCGAATACGAATGTAGTTTATAAAATTAACTGTAAAAACTGTGATGCCTCATATGTGGGTCAAACTAGCAGAAAACTGAATACTAGGATAACTGAACATAAAAAACACATTAATAGAAAGTGTTCCAATAAATCAGTTGTTACTGATCATAGATTAGAGTTCTCTCATGAATTTGATTGGGATGAAGTAATAATTTTAGATAAAGAACCATATTACAATAAAAGACTTATATCAGAAATGTTATATATAAAAAGACAAACTAATGGATTAAATCTACAAAACGACACTGAATTTTTGCCTGATATATACAATAATATTATAGATTCTTTACCAAAATTGCCAGGGTTTGTAAACAGACCTTGATATGTATAATAAAGGTGAAACACCGAGTTACTGCCTCATTTGGGATTGGGAGTTGAGACGGTAAAGACGTTCTGTCTTTAGTAAACTTTTGTTTGTAAAAACTGTGTCTATAAGATCTCGTAGCTGATACTTGTAACTTCTATAAAATAATCGCCAATTTTATTTGAGTAAGTGTACAGTGCATGTTATTTTTCAAAAGTATAGTGAATAATTGGATATTGTTTATTTAGATCTCCATTTAATGTCTAACAACATTTCAATATGACGATTCAATCAAGATATCTCCCTTGACTAATAAATCAGGAGGCCTATACACAGTGATTACATGGCACTGTCGCTCGATCTCAGTATGTATCCAAAATTTGCACTTGTCACACGCGATGACTTATTTAGAAACATATGTAATGAAACAAAAAACTGACTTTTATTATCTTGACATCGTTAATTGCCGTCTTTAATGTTCAATATTACATTTCAATTTATATAATATTTGTATTGCGCTGAGGAAGGCTCGAAATGTCAGCCGAAACGTTCGCTCTAATGTGTATTTCTTATGTATATATTATATTATTTCGTTAAAATGCGAATAAATGATCACTTCTTATTTATTTCTTGCTACGTTCAAATAAGTTTTTTTTTTTTTATATTTTTTAATATCAACTGACAACTTGTTAAGTTTAATAGCTCTTATAGCCCTTCTTTGTTTACAATTTATTATTACTAAATTTAGATAATATACACTTTACGTATGTTCACACTTTGAACTTGCACCTTGAATAAATATCACAGTTACTTTTCATGGTAATATATTATTACTAAATTTAGATAATATACACTTTACGTATGTATGTTCACTTTGAACTGGCACCTTGAATAACATATCAGTTACTTTTCGTGATAATTTATTATTAGATCGTTTAAATTTTTAAAGGTTTAAATTTTTGAGTACCTTCTTTTGAACATGGCCTGACCTTTTCATTTTTATGATTTTTTAGGATCATTGCGTTCCCCTAAATCATACCTACCCCTATGAGTAGGCCCACGTAGGACTTGCCATCAGAAAATTTAATTTAATTTGTATATCGTTTTCTAAAAAAAAAGTCGCACTCTGCTTTTCAATAGCATAAAGTGATATTTTGAATTACCGTTTCAGTGATTTTCGTAAATAGAGATGGCACCCAATATCTCGAGCAAAAATTCTGAAATACACGCGGAGAAAGATTTTCAAAAAGAGGAATTTTTAATCATCACGAAGAGGACGGATAATGAAAATAATATACAAAATCGAAACGCGACACATATAAAATTCGAAGGATTATTTAAGTTCAATACGAAGTTGAAGTGGTTGAATGTCATATCCATTATTTTTCTTCATATGAGCATGATTTATGCCTGTTTCACTTTTAAATGGTCCGAAGATCTCAGGACTAACATTTGGAGTGAGTATATTCTTGTGGAGTATTGTACAACATTAATTTTAATTTTTGACTTACAGAAGAATAATTAAATAGAAAATTAAATAAAAATTTTTTATTAATTGTTTTTAATAAAACTGATTATTTTTATACTTTTTATACGAATATGTAAAAGCATGTATAACAATAAGTTGATTGAAAGTGTACACGCGCGTTTACTAAAAAATACTGTAGTTGTCAATTGCTGAAATCGACAATAACTGACATTAGCCGAAAGCAATCGATTAGTTTTACATGATAGAAGAGAAACATGATAAAAAGCTTGACAGAGGACAAGTCAAAGTTTCATTTTTATTGTATAACTTTTATTTGATTGCAGACATTGCATCAGTCATCCGCGTCAATTATCACAAAACATATTGTGAAAATAATTCGGTGTATACATATATACATATGTATATATGTGTATATATATATACATATATATGATTCCAATTTGAGAATATTAAAATTAAAAATAATATACTTGATTTTATATAAAATTCTTACAAATTTGAAATAAATTTTTATATAATTTTATATAATTTTTTGAAAAACGACTTGCTTTATGTTGAATAAAAATATAATTTGTTAAAAACAATGTGATAAGCAAGCTCGTATCAAATAAAAATTAATACAATAGAAAAAGGCTTTTACACAAGCAAATATGGATGAATTATATATATACAGTATATATATATATATATAATAATTGTATTTAAATATAAATTTTACAATAAGTTTATGCAAGACGTTTTGTCATTTACTTGTGACTTCTCAATCGCTAAATTCAATACAATTACATACAATAACAGTCTATAAATTTCATCTTAAAGCTATAGTTGTCTTGTTGGCAATGTAAAATATACTAATATGTCCATGTTCTTCGTATTAATTTCAGTGGTCGGTAATAATTAATGTTCGATCTATATGTAACAATAGCGTACAGTTAAACTTTTATACGGATATTATTAGATATAATTAATATTAGTTAAATTGCAAACACTTACAACTTTTTATTTTTCGCCTCGGTCTCCATAATAGTGTGTTATTCTTTATCAACTATTAGGCTGAATATACGCAAAATCTTTCTCTCAATCTTTATATATTATTTAGAAAAAGATGAAATTATTTATATTTTGTTTATTTTGTCTAAAATCGGGAAATAAGCCTTGTCTAATAAATCAATATCATCTATAAGATCAAACTGTTTTTGTTGTTTAATGTGTATTGTTTCTGATATTAACCTTTTGTAATATAATTTGTTAATTTATAAGTGTTTTATAATAAACTTCTTGATACACTACATTTGTGAGAAATATGTGTTACATTATTAATTATAATACATTAATTTCATAAATATCCTAATTAATTTAACTGACTCTTCTTATATCAAGTGCTCGTCATGTGTATAATACCAGCGATCGGTGTTACTGCTGGTGCTCATCGTCTTTGGACTCATCAAGCTTATAAAGCAAAATGGCCACTCAGAATTATACTTTTCATCTATTTAGCTGCGGCTGGTCAGGTAAAAAAGTTTTCAGTTAGTTTTTGTATTGCAAAAAGAAAAAACTTTACGTTAATCTTTTTTTTTTAGAATAATCTTTATGACTGGGTGCGAGATCATAGGGTGCATCATAAATACACGGACACAGACGCGGATCCACATAATAGCAACAGAGGATTTTTTTTCTCCCATGTCGGTTGGTTGATGATGAAGAAACATCCAGATGTCATTCAAAAAGGTCGTCAAATCGATATGAGCGATATATTAGCCGATCCTATCACCGCGTTTGGTTGCAAGTAAGACTACATGTGTTAAAGAGTTAATATTATCTCGCATTATGTCCAAATAGCTATTTGAGAGGCAAAAGGGAACATAAGATGTGTAAATTTTATTTGTACTTATATAATTCATTTCATAAATGCATATTACGTTACGAGAAAATGTACAGATATACTGATTAATAAGTTGTGTTATTTCACAGATATTTCTCGATATTTCAATTCGTCTTTGCCTTTTTGCTACCGGTAATAGTGCCTGTTTATGGATGGAATGAAACTTGGTCCAGAGTCTTTACGTCACAGATTATACGTTACGTTTTAAGTTTAAATTGCATATGGAGTGTTAACAGTGTGGCTCACATCTGGGGTTCAAAGCCATACGATGCGTAAGCAGATAAATGCGTCCGAAATGATACGAAATTATCATATATAAAACTTAATAGAAAGAAACTTCAATGTATCTTTTTATTGCACAAATAACTTTATGTAATTTATTTTAATGACAGATACATAAATCCGACAGAAAACAAATTCGTCGCCTTTGTAGCGCTCGGTGAAGGCTGGCATAATTATCATCACGTGTTTCCGTGGGATTACAAGACGGCCGAATTAGGAAATTACACGCTCAACATGACCACGATGTTCATCGATGCCTTCTCAAAAATAGGCTGGGCGTATGATCTCAAACAACCTTCCAAAGAACTCTTAAGAACCGTCGTAATGAAGAAAGGTGATGGGAGTCATTCTCTGCAAAGTGTATCGCATCCAGATAGCAAAAATGGATTAATAATTTCTGTCACGTTTTTTTTAATTCAGCAGCAGATTATCCAATGACGAACGATGATTAAGCTGAACATTATTATCAACAGATTTATTATATTTTTCCAGAATTAAAAGAATCAATGATTCTATTAAATCGACTATATATTGTTACGTCCTCCAGACGTTCTTTCTCGCAAAAGACGTCTCTCGCACACACTCTTCACTCACTCGCGGCTCGCGAAATAAATACACTCTCTTATGAAGAAATGATCCTTTATACAATGATGAATACAATGACCAATGTACACGCGAAAGAAAGAAGATTGCTCTCTGGTCAAGTCACGTCCGTACGAGATGACAGCTAGACCAAAACTGTCCTGGAGCTGGAACCTGAAACAACCACCGGGCGGTTGTCAATAAACAACCCCCCCTTAACGATGAAGCTCCACGACACAAGGGATTTATTCAGGGGATGAAAGATCAGGGACGTAACAATATTTTAAAATAGAGTAATATTTAATGTTTTAAAGAAATTGAACAATTCGAGCAGACGAATTTCGTAATCGAAATTTAAATTATTCATTTATTTGAGAATATATTTGAATAGTTTTAATCAGTTCAAACTGATTTCGAGAAAATATACATACGATGTAAAACTAGAGGAAGCACTGTAACAAAGAAATAATAAATTTATTTTTTTTTTTTTTGTCTACAATAAAATTATCGTTGAAAATTTTTCTTAGAATTTAAAGTATTTTATATAGTTTTAATGAAATCAAATAGACTATTAATTTCTGTTCAAATTATTCGAATTTGAAGCAAATTGTTCAAATAAAATAGAAATTTCTTCAAATTTTTATCTAAATTCTGGTGCGACACATAATTTTTGTCTTTACATTTTTTTACCAATAATTTACTGATTATATAATATTGTTATGCTTCTTCTTTATTGCATGTATTTAAAAGAAATGTTAAATAAACGGATATATTATAAGATAAGCACGCTTTCTATCTGTAATCATAGTTATTTGATTAGATTTAAAAATTTGTTGAATTTTTATATTATTTTAATATTGTTTGTAAGAAAAAGGGAACATTATGGAATATTTTTATTATTATAATATATAATGTCATATATGTCAAACAAGCAATAAGAGCCAATCGCGGATGACAGTGCGACGTCCCAACGAAACTAAATTTTCGTTAGAATTTAAGAACCTTAGTGCTTTGTGCACAGGTTTTTAAATTCTTTTAATTTCTAACGAAAAATTAGTTTCGTTGGGATAACGCACTGTCATCCGCGATTTGGATCTTATTGCCTGTTTGACACTCTCAATTGATATTTATATTTATTATAGTAAACTCTACCTAAAATTAACTGAAGAATGTAATTATGTTAGACTATATTACTCCAAAATGTTTAGTTTCAAAAAACCCTTTTTTTCAATTGCTTATAACTCGAAAATTATTGACTTCTCAACATTTTTGCTAAGGAAAAATCGCCTCCAAATTGGTCAGAAAATCCGACCTTAATCATTGGTCCGTTAGTTACCGGACACCCTGTATAACGTCTTTTATATATCTCTGTCTCAGTAGCGCTCAAAGCTGTGTTATGAAAAGTTGTGTGTTTATTATATCGATGCTATAAAAACACAGTCAAAATAAGTACTTTGTGTTTTCTTAATTTCTCAATATTGTATTAGAAGTTTACCCCTTTATTATTGTTTATTATAAATGAGTCACTATTCCTTTAAACAGTTTGATGCATATTTTGAGTTTAATTCATTTTATAACATTAAATATTTGATCAATTGTGGCAAAAATCTAAGTCGGGACAAAAGTAACAGACTATTACTATCATGAGATAGAATAGATTTATTAATAAACAAACAAATTGATTGTATATGTAGCATCACAATTATTGCTACATATGTAGGGCAAACTAAAAAACAATAGGCACAAGAGTAAATGAACAAAAAATAATATCAAATTGGATTCTGCAAGACACTCGTGATTTTTGATTATATTGTAAAGTTTACACATACTTTTAATTGGAACAACACAAAAATCTTGGATCACGAAAGGAATTATTATAAAAGGTTGATATCGGAATGATATACATTAAAGAGGAAAAAAAACAGTATCAACTTAAAAAAGGACACCAAGCGACTTGACGGTTCTTATTTTGATGTTTTAGAAAAATTGTCTATGTCATCTTAGCATGGCGGTATATATACAGCGTTCTGACATTGTGATTTACAGATATTGAGTTTGCTTTGTATAAAGTATACATTGTTTATAATGTTTTTTAACAAGAAATATTTAAAGAATTTTTATCGTCTCGACATAGAAGTAAGTGATCACTATTTATTAAAAATCAAATATTCAATATTCAGGCTAACACATTAATTATTTCACAGCTTATTACATATTTTTACATCATGGATTACAAAATTAGACGTTTATTCAAAAAGAACTACAGAAATCTGATGTTCGGGATTAGGCTCTTTAACGACTAATTCGAACGATCAGCCGTAATTCAAGCCAACAATTATAATGTGTTATACTGTGTTTTTTCATATTATAAGTCTATATATGTTACATGTATGATAAGTTCTGTCTTTCTAAATTATTTTAAATTATTGATATGTTAGCAGAGCGATATTTGTATGATAAAGACTGTCGTACAGTTGAAAACGTTTACTAATTATCATTTGTATTATTATATTTTCATGACGTAGAATAAAAAATTTTTAACATCTAATTAATTAGCTCGTTAAGTTGGCCTTTAATTTATAACTAATTTTAATTTTACACGAGCCGAAATTTATTTTTTATTATATATATATATATATATATATAATATATATATATATAAGTAAAGAAGTATTAATATATCTCTATTAAAAAAACAGCTACAACTGAATAAAATTTCTCTTGTATTTGACAGACTGGATTCAAAATTGCAGACCTAATATTATTATTGCAACAAATTGTACCTAATTGCGCAAACAGAAAAACAAAAATGATACACATGCGCATATATTGCTTATCAAAACATCAAAATAATTAAAATAGTTTTAAGTGAAAAGTATAATAATAAAATTTAATATGTAAAAATATATATTTATCCAAAAAAGATGATAGTCATCAATTTCTTTTTTTGAGAAATACCAACTTGAATTGCTGTATGTTCATTACCATCATTTTATGTAAAGATAATTAAGTAAATATAATAATAATAGCTTGTTATAGTCTGAATGACTATAACTATATTATATTAAATATAGTTTTAATAATAAATTAGTAAGTCGGCTATTATGCAATCATTTGAGAAACGTTCTCACGCTCTCGCGAAGCGCTTATCGCGAAAAAAACGCAAACGCGATGAAATATAAGCGTTACACCGAAAACCGCGGATCGCAAGCGAAGAATCAACTGCTTCGCTTGCACCTAGATAAAAGCGTGTGAATAAAAAATTAGCCAATAAAAGAGCTTTTCAAGGAGGCACAACAATTGGTGGCAGCGGTGGGATCTCAGCCACAGGGCCGACGTCGTCTCTAAATCCTTACGGCGGCGAAGACCTGTAAAAACACATAAAATTATAAAAAGTGTTAGACGGGCACGTCAGTAACTCTGACGGAAAACAAGCAGAAGCCACGACTAGGAGAGAACGAGAGAGCGCACAACATAAACAGTGCAACGAGTGATAAGCAGCAGAGAATCGAAAGGATCGCCGACGTCCAAGGACAACGCCGACCTACGACAACCTCACGGGCAGCGCATCATCACGAGCGACGACCCGGCGTGTCTATCACCAACACGGAGCAGCCGTTATCAGCCCACGCGATCGATCGAGTTGCAGCAGCAGCAGCCGACCCGTATAGAGCGTAACGATGCGAGTCGTAATACTGTAAGTCCGAATTTATTAATTGCGTGAATGTCGGAAGGTGACAAAACCCCCGACAAGCGATTAAAAACCAATCGTGGTTGCATAGTACGGTTAACGACGCGAGTATTGCCTTTAACTAGAAATTTAGACAGCGACTTGTCAAACAAAAATAATACCGAGTTACCTCCGAACGTAATAAACGAACGAGAATTTCCGTTTACTAGTTTTGACGCGAGTATATTCGCAAATAATCCGAGCGACTCCGTTCAAGTAACTCAAAACGAACCGCGTCGTTTGCGACCGTATATCAGCCGAACTCCGAGTAGAGTATCTCGCGGAGAGAATTTTCATTAACGTCATACGACAGCGAAATATTTGATCCCAAAGAAATTTATAGTAAAATAAATATGGCAGAAAATACAAACGCGAACGCGATTATTCCGCCAACCGCGATAGATGCCGAAATAAGCATACTCCGACAAACCCTTGCACAAATGGGATAGAATTTAGACGTCACGTCACAACAACCCTCCGTCGTAGCGCCCGGAGAAACTTCACAAATGCTTAATATAATACAAGCTATACATGCAGAGCTACATACACTAAACACACGTATGAATAGGATAGAAGCCGCACGGCATACACACACACAGACGATGACAGGAGTCCGATTACGAGCCTCGTATGACTTACGGACGGACTGAGCACGACGTACAAAATCGACGGAGTACTGCACGACAATATATGTCTCTAAAAGAAGCGCGAATGATGATACCCGAATTCGACGGTACATCGCGACACCGCTTTTAGGAATTTCTGAACGCATGCACATATACAATGCAAAAACATACACCCCGGAGACGAAGAATCTTTGATACAAGGCATACTATTTACTATATTAAAGGGTAAAGCCATGCAAGTGTCGAAACGCGAGACATACAAACGTTTAAAGAATTAGAGCAACAACTAGAGACTGCATACCAAAGCAAGCAAGTACTGCCCACTTACAATTAGAATTCAATTCACTAAAGCAAAAATATAAGGAGTCAGCACAAAGTTTCGGACAACGCGTCGACCAACTCGCTATGAATTTATACGATTCAATGATAGAGAGAGAGGAAACCAGGCGAGCTCAGAGAAACGCACTATCTTACAAACGATCCAAACACAAGCTTTATTAAATTTTCAATTAGGGCTACGAAGCGACTTAAAGTACTCG